GCCAGCCCTGCCCGGCACTTTGTACTTTCCCGGCGGAGCCCCGAGGCGGCGGCCGGCCTCACCCACGGGACCCTCTGCGGGGCGGGCGGGACGGCGTTTGCCCGTTTGGCCTCAGGAAAACGCCGAGGTGAGCAGCGAGGAAGTGACTGAGAAGTTATTAAAAGCAGTTGCAGGATCTAATATATGTTGTGGCTGAGGCCATTTTTCTTGCTTTGGGTTTTCACTTCCTGGTTAACGCCGCCTTGTCCAGGTTAATCGCACATCTGCGTCCCTGTCTTTTTGTGCCTTGTGTCAAAATTTCTTATTTTCCCACATTCTGTAAAAGCCGTTTGGAAGAATGATTTTGCCCTAACACGTTAACTCTCGCCTGCTCTGATACCTTATTGCATGGCCCCTCAAATTCTATGTACTCAGGTTTACCGTATGTAGTATTACCTAATTTATTCCAACAAACTGATGCCTGTTCTGTCGCTGGTACTGCTCATATACCTTCACTCCTTTACGGAGGAAGTGCTCCTGTTAAACCTTATTAGAAGCCTTCCAACAGAAAGGTTGGAGACATTGAGAAACCTGGAAAGGAGGACATCTTTGAGACTGTACCTTTATTTATAGTAACAACTGTTTTGTTGGATCTTTTTTTTTTTTTTAAACAGGGTCTCACTTTGTGATTCAGACTAGTTTTGAACTCACTGTGTAGCCCACACTGGCCTTGACTTGTGGCAGTCCTGCCTCAGCCTCCCAAGTGCTTGGATTACAGGCACGTGCACTCTAATAATCTTAGAAGTTGTTAAACAGTTCTGGGATCTGCTGTCTGTAGCTCGACCCTGTGCTAAGGCCTGGTGTATCTTTATACCCCGTGGTGCTTAGGTTTTGTATTGTCCCTTCTAACGTTCACCCCCTCAGCCATCTCAGGTGTTGATATTGTTTGTATGCCAGTATTGTATTCCTGAAACTGCACAGCCTTTCAGGACTCTGCAGCACCATAGCAGTATTAGACCATGTGTATTTCCCTGTAGAAGTAGAACTAATATGTGGTGTTTAAATGATTCTATAGACAAAATTTAGTATTTATTTTCTCTCTTTAATCCTTGGGGTTTGGAGGGATATCTTTGCTTTAATAGTACCCTATACAGCCCAAGAGTTTACCTTTTGTTAACAAAGTTACTTAAGGCTGGGCTTTGTTTTTTCTGGAAACTGAGGATTAAATGATCTTAAAATCAGGGACTAGCGAGGTCCTGTGTGTTTCAGCACTGTAGTAATTTCCTGTGGTCTCTGGGTCCTCACTCCACTCCAGGGCTGGAGTTTGGCCTTCCGAACCCTCTTGTTAGGGGGATGGTGAAGCCTGAGGGTGGGTGCCGGTGCGTACCATGCCACACATACAGAAGAAGTGGTGAATTCTAGGGTATGTTTGTATTTTACTATCCAGATCTTCTGGTTAAACAGAAGATCTCTGCCTTTGGTTTTAAATAATAGACTGCGGAGGGAAACGAAACTGCTTTCTGTTAAAATTCTGACCTCAGTGAAATGTTTGGTCTGCGGGTCCAACCTGCTGTCCTAGGCCTTTTGGTGTGGCCAGGAGGTGTGCAGCAGGTTTGTGTGGGCCCAGCCCTGTGGGGCTCAGCTGCTCATGCCCCGTGCCCAGGTGACTCAGGGCAGTGCCTGGGCGCTCTCCCGCCCTCAGTTCTGCAGAGTTCTGCAGAGTGGGACCGGGACCGGGACCGGGACCGTGTCTCCAGATAATGGGAGCAGTGCTTTGAGGTCAGGTGAAAAGCACCTCATAAACTCAAGTTGATGGTGTTCCGCTGCTGCTATCCTCAGCAAAAGTAATCCTTACTCGCAGTCATGCTGGCTTAGGTGGGGCTCAGTTTACTTCCTGGGAGGCAGAGACAGCTGTTGGGTTGGGAAGAAGAGGCCTGGTCCCTATGATGGGCCCAGCCCCTAGAGGGCATTTCATCTTCAATGCAAGAATATTTCTCACCCATATCCTTAGCAGGTGATTCTGGGAGGCCAGACATTGGGCTTCTGCCTCTTCAGGGTTATAACTAAAAAGCAGACAGGTGTAAGAGACACAGAAAGAAAATAAGATTTATTGTCCTAATTTTAAGGTTACATTTTTTATGGCAGGAATAAACACTCTTTTGCCCAAAGGGAAATCTTTGCTCTCGGACTGGCCCTCGTGCTGTGCTCGTGTTTGTTTTTATGTCTTGCTTTTTGTATCTGCTGTATTTGTCACAGGTGAGTTGGGCCTCTTAGAAAAGCTAGGTCTTTGATGACATTAGGCCAGGGAAAGCCTTGCTCTCATCCTTCCTGTCAGAATAGTGTTCAGGAGGGAGAAGGATCCCGGTGCATTTTCCTCTCTGTTCACGGTCTCTCCCACATGTACAGAAGAGAGGAAGAGCATCTTTTTTTTTTTCAGAAGGAACTTTTTAACTGAGCAGCCTGTGGGGACAGGCCTTGCTATGGCTTAGAAACGCCCCGGAAGGTTTTCTTGGTAAACATCCTTGTTTTTCTCCAGGTGAGGCCCTGTAACCCAGCTGAGCTGCGCAGCCACAGAGCCTGAGCTTGCAGGTGAGAGAGCAGAGACCTCGAGAAACCTGGGACTGGGGTATCTGGAGCTTTGCCTTTATCTGCAGTGGAAATATCATCAAGCAGAAGTTGTATCTTCATCCTCCTCTGCTTACCGAAAGAACATGGCCTCCAGGATTTTAATTTCCCTCTAGTTCTGTATGAACTCTATGGGAACAGGGCCCTTAACAGGATCAGGAGTAATGAAGAGAGACTGAAGACGCTCAGGCTCACTGTTTCCCTCCCCCTTCAGAGGAAAGGATTTACAACTGAACCCTGTAACAGCTGTTGTCCAGCACTGGCCATCAAGAGAGAAGTAAATAAAATTAAGCTGCTGTTGCCAGACTGCAAGCCCTGGTGAAGTCCAGGTGTGGGAGTGGTGGCCCCAGGAGACTGCCCAGAGGGACGAGGACTGCAGGCGGAGCAGTGGGGCGCAGCTCCAGGTCACACCCGTTCTGGGGCCGAGGTGCGCAGAGAGACTGCCGGGTCTCCCCTCAGAGGACCAGAACTTGGACCGAGCCTGACCGCATCCTCCTTCCCTGGGAAGCCCCGGCTCCATGCGCCCCCCGACTGTCCACACTCGCCACCTGCTCCACCTGCACCTCGCTGCCTGGTTTTCAGACCGCCGCAGTCCCATCTCCTGATCTGCCCCCCGGCCTTGCTCAGGGGAGGTGGTTTCTGGGCCCGGGAAGTCGCCTTCTTTCCCCCTCCCGTGCGCCTTCCCTCCTCCAGGCCCTGCTGAGCTGCAGCGTTCCTCGGGAGGGGGAAGGGGACGCTCTGCGCCTCCGGCCTCCCTGGTTGGCGACTTCCCCGCCACCCCCTTGCCCCGTTTCTTGTCTGACTGCCGCCGCGTGTGCCTGGGCTATGCGGCAGGGCAGCTCTCCCTTCACAGCTCCAACATGCCCTCAGAGTCCGGAAAGAGATTCAAACCCAGCAAGTATGTCCCGGTGTCCGCGGCCGCCGTCTTCCTAGTGGGCGCCACCACACTCTTCTTCGCATTCACGTGAGTCCCTCCGGTGGCGTGGGGAGGTCCTGGGAGGTGGAGAGGGCGCGTCCCCGCGAGAGAGCCAAGAGCGGTAACGCGTGAGGAGAGGCCCGTTCCCGGCTGTGTCACTCGCTGCTCCCTGCAGCTCCTGCTCCTCAGGTAGGTGAAGGAGGTGGGCTGAAGCCACCAGGAGGCCCGCAGCAGTGTGAACAGTCAGGTCTGCGGGGTGGAGGAGGAGACTGGAGTCTTCTCCATAGGAGCCGCTTTTCCCCAGGGTGTCTGGTGCTTAGGTCTGAGGTTGTGGAAGCGGTGCTGGGGAATTTCAGGTGGATGTGGAAGAGACCACACAGGAGAGATCGTGAGATGGTTCGGCCCAGTGGTCATCTTTGTGTTCCTTTCTTTCTGCACTGGGAGATGGAACCTAGGGCCTTCACACTTAGCTACACCTGTGACGCCTCTTTAATTTCCTGGTACCTGGGATCGAACTCAGGCAGGTGTACTTGTCAGGCAGGTGTGATACCTCTCAGCTACATCTCTGATCTTGGTCCCTCCCTCTAATTTCTTTTAACTTTTTTTTTTTTTTTACATTTTGAGACAGGGTTTGGATAAGTCAGTGAGTTGCCCAGGCTGGGCTTGAACTCATGCTCCTCCTGTCTCAGCCTCCCAGGGTACTGGGATCACAGATGTGCAGCATATCCGGCTTTCTGTATTCTCATGAAAGCACTGGGGCCTAGAGAAGTGAAATCCACTGGGAAAGGCCTCCTCACTTGGTGTAAGAAGCATCCTCAGGTTTGGCACAGAAGGGTTCTCTGCTCAGAGTCTGGGGTCTGTGCTGCTCCCCTCCGGAGTCTCCAGACCTGCTCCGCCCGCCCGCTGCTGTCCTGTTGTTCCCTGGATAGGGATGGACTCGTGCTGGTCTTCGAGCCTTGACCTGTTGAGTCACTGGTTAGCTCTCGAGCTGCGGCTCTCCCAGTGATCAGAACACACTGGCTCTTCTGGAAAATTCCCTGTGATGCGGTTCCAACTCCCACCTAATGATGAGGCTCTGCTGAGCTTTGCGAGGTTGCTGGGAAGAGGAAGAGGATGGAGTGATACGGCAAGAGCAGTTTGGACTCATTGAGGCTGGAAGTGGGGGTGTGGACAATTCCCCCAAGAGATTCTGACCATTGCGGCCAGAGGAGTGAGGAAAGTGTTGCTGGTGCCCTTCTCTCTGGTGTTTAAACAAGGGAAGAGTGAGTCATTCCCCGGTGTCTGGCATCAGTCCTCTGCCCATCTCCTCTCTGGAGTGCAGAAGTCCTGGATGTTTTGGCCCCAGCTCCGTGTCCTGCCTGTCCCTGCCAGGTCCCTCGGGGATTTGGAGATAGCCCTGCTCTTCTCTGCCTGGCTCTTTTCCTTCATTCTTTCTCAGCAAAAGTGTTCAGTAGCCTGCCTTCCTCTGTGTTGACTGCCACTGAAGAGGTGTAACTCTCCGAGTCAGAACTTGAGTCAGAACTTGTTTCTGCTCGTGCTGTCATGACCAGGAAGCAGTGTCACGCTCCTGACCGAGGGTGTTGCCAGGTGTCCTCGTGTCCCTGAGGCAGTGAGGGGCTGGGCAGGAGGGTGACCCGGCTTGTGCCCCCTCTGCCTTCCCTGAGCTCGGTGCTTCACTGGCCTTCAAGATGCAGAGCCTTGGCGAGGCTGGGGCAGTCAGGGTGAATGGCTCTCCCTCTGCCTCTGTGGTCCTGAGGCAGCATGTTGCAGAGCCCTGTGCTCAATGTGCTCATCTGGAGCCCTTGCGGTGCTCGGCTGGTTATACCAGTTTGCCCACAGAGCTGCACAGACATAGGCATTTTCTCAACTGATAGTTGAAGCTATTTAACCTACTTTTCTCATTCCTGGTACCAGTAAAATAGGGGCCTCCTGTGGTGGTTTCTCAGCCTCAGGAAGAGATTCTGGACTTGTTGTTGTGACTAACATGTTTGTGATACGGTGTAATTACATTCATCTTGGGTTAGAGGAGTTACTGACTCAGTCTGGAGCTGTAGCCTCGGATCCAGTCTGAGAGCCTTGGGCCTTGGATGAAGTTCCCACTGGCGTCCACGTCCAGCTCCCTCTTCTCCCTGAGTTCTCCCCATGCCTCAGGTCTGTCCTCGCTGAGCACACTCTGCATCGCATCCGTCTTTGTCTTACCATAGTGTTGTCTCAAGCACGTGTCTGGCCCCGGTGCTGTTGTGCCCACACTCACCACTCCGTGGATCCTGTCCCTTTTGGGGTCCAGGTCCTTGGGGGACTCCTTGTTGAAAACTAGACAGCCTCAGAAGGATTCTGTGAGCCAGATCCTGGGAGGCCCTGAGCCTGCCCTGCTCGCCACCCTGCTGTTCTCTGGCTGGGCTGCCTGTCCTCGCTGGAGGGCAGGCTGAGGTGGGAACTGCTCTGGGACCTGGAGGGCTGGGAGTAGGAGGAAGTACCTCTTAGCTGGCAGACATAATTAGTGAGGCACGTAGGCTTCAGCTAATTAGGAACAGCCTATCCTCCATGTTTCTTTGTCAAGTGAGGAAAGCTCTGAGCAGAAATTACCACTGGGCTTGGCCACCAGAGAAATGGTAATTTCTTCTGCCCAGAGAAATTTGGACAGAGCAGTTGACGTCTTCCCCCAGAGCCCTGGCCCTCTCTTCCGAGTTTGTTTGGGGCTGAAACGAGGTAGGAGCTGTGGAGGTCCGGTGTTAATTTCCTGTTTCCTCCCCAATTTGGGAAGGGGTAGACTGGATTCTGCAGGGAACACAAGGCGTCCACCCCCTCGCAGTGTTTAGTGACTGCTATGGCTGGCGAGGGGCAGTGTGGAGTGGTGGGGTCATAGTTGGGGTCAGGAGACTGGTTTTGCTAAAGTCTGTCAGCCCTTGTGGCCGTGGGTTCTTCCTCTCTCCGTGAGGAAGTTGAGGCTGAGTGACTGGTTGAAGCTGTGTGACGACGCTTCTTCGGAAGAAACCTTACACTGAGCAGAAGGCAGCGGTGCTGTGGCCACGTGAGGCTGGCGCATGGGGACCCAGCTGCTTGCGGTCTTTTTGGGGTCCCGAGACTTTAGGGCTCCTGGCAGTCCCACTTGAAGTCACTGGCTTGATCTTCTGTGAGGTCATTCGGGCTGAGGTAAGATCTCTGCTCCAGGTGAGCCTCTGGGCTAGAACTTGGGCGCCTCCAGAAGCCGTGAGCGCCCTTCCAGGGATGCTCCGGGACCCGGGGTCCTGCTGGCTTTCGGTTTCTGTCTGCCCCTTCTGGCCCCTTTACCCACAGAGTGGCAGCCTCAGTGTCTGTCCCTCTTTTCTTCTTCGTAATTGTGGAGGTGCCAGCACGAGTGGCCTCGTGACGTGTCCCTCCACTGTGCAGTGTTGTTCCTTTCTCTCCCATGTGGTTTTGTGCCCAGGCCTTGCCTGTGGCATCCGGTTCCTGGAAAGTCTACCTTCCAGAAGCACCACGGCACGTGGGGCTGAGGGGTTTGTTCTTATTGCCTGGTTTGGTTTCGTTTGGTTTGGTTTTTGAGATTGCACATCACTGTGTATTCCGGGCTGGCCTTTAACTTGCAATCCTCCTGCCTCAGCCCCCCAGATCCCGGGATGAGGGGCTGCACCACCATGCTTGGCCTTTTTCTGAGACAGTCTTGCCCAGGCTAGCCTCCAGTTTGTGCTTGTCCCGCCTCCTGCACGCTGGGATTCTAGGTGTGCACTACCCTGCCTGGCTAGGCAAGTCTTGTGAGAGAAACTTGTCCCTGGGATGAAGAGAAAATGTTTCCCCCAGAGCAGTGATGGCGACCCTGCGTGTGTGCTCCAGCAGGCCATTTGCATCATTGAAAGCTCTGACTACTTGCCATCGTAGGTTGTCTTGAGAAAGCCCTCCCAGACGAGGGTCCCACGGGCGGAAAGCGAGTCCTCCACCCCAGCCTTTCCTGACGGCACGCCAGGCAGGGGCGGGATTCAAGTCTTGCCGGCCAGAAGCTTAGTGCCCACCTTGGTGAGGGAGGTGGAGCCCGGGCACGGGTGGGACTGCGGTAATGACTGACAGGACATCTGTGCCCTGGGCGCACAATGAGCAGCCAGCTCCAGACTCAGCCTGCAGACTGCATCCTCTCCTGTTTGTCCGTGTAGTGGAAGTACAGAGCTTGTGAGGTGCTTGTGCTTACACAGGGCTGCACCGTGAAGCTTTATTTCAGGCGGGATTAAAAGCCAGTGCTCCTTGTGTCTACTTTGCTTTTCTTTCTAGGAACTTTATTTTTCACAGTGGGTGGTGTTGGGGGTATATGTTTCAGGACTGGCTACTGAGGCCCCTCCCGGATCGCCTCTGGCCTTGGGGCAGAAGAACCAGTTCTGCCCAGGTCTGGTTAGCCTGGGAACCCTTCCTTCCGTGACTCAGCCAGCCTTCCCTATGATTAAGCGGAGTCTGAGGACAGGACAGGTCCGGGCAGCTCCCGGGGATGGGATCACCTCTCCACCACTGGCAGTGTACTCCGCCAGCCCTCAGGAGCTTCAGTTGGCTTGTCACTCGCAGATCCATCCCACCACCATGGAGGCAGGCTTTATTTCGGCAGCAAATGCTGGTGCTGCGTTCTGGGGCCACACACTGCGCTGGGATGGGTGGGTGGGCTCCTCTCCCTGCTGGGCTGGCACGGTGCTGTGCTGGGACCAGAGCTCAGTGCCTGAGTGACAGCGGAGCCCACCTGATCTTGGCCTCCCCTGCTCTGCTCTGTTTTGCTCTGGCCGCAAGGTCTGGGCTTGTTTCAGTTAGAGGCCTGGCCGAGGTTGTCACAGTGGCCAGCTCCAGGCCCTTGAAGTCCAGGCACCTGTGTGTTCTTCCTTCCGATGGCCTTCCCAGCCTTAGCAGTGCCGCGAGCCGCCTCCTCCTCCCCGGGGGAACTGCAGGACAGCTGAGTTTCCAGCTTCCCCTCCTCCTCAGGAGCCGGCAGAGCAGGCCCTGGGCACACACCGAGCGGAGCCAAGAGCTCAGGGGCCCAGCTTCGTGGTGGCACTGGGGCTGAAGCTGGTTTTCTTTGAAATCGGTGGCCTGGTCCCACCTGGCTTCACTGTTCCGTCTCCCAAGGACAGCATGTATCAGATTGGAAGAGGTCATTGGTATTTACCACTGGAGCATAATAAATACTTAAAAATGTTTTTAAATGAGTGGCTGAGTGGATTTGGCAGAGCAGGCGGTGGCCGTGAAGGTTGTGGGGTGTTTTGTGGGGCATTTGCCTCTGCTCCCTGGTTTTCGGTTTACTTGTGTTTCATTAGGGAGCTCGGGGCCTCCAGACCTCCTGAGCTCCTGTGTCACTGGGCTGCCCTGCGCTTTTGGGTCTGAGGACAGCTCGAGGCCTTGCGGTCCTCCCACTCCTCCCACTCATGGGTGTCCTGTCCACCCCGCTCCTCTTTCTTCTGCCCGAGCACAGATGCTGCCCAGTCTGGGCTTAAGTCCTCAGCCGTGAGCAGATTAGGGTGCTTGCCCATCTTACAGGGAAGTTGTTCGTGAGGCAGGAGAAAACCCCGGCTCCCATTAGTCTGGGAGGGCAGTGGAGGCATGGCCCTGCTGCACCCCAGTCCTGGGTGAGAGCCTGTGCTTGCGCTCCCCTTTTCTCTGTCAGAGCGGAGCTGCCTGCACCCACGGACCCTCTTGTAGGATGGGCTTCCTTGGTCTTAGACTCTCCCCGTCCATGTTCTGCATTCTTGGGTGGGGACTTGATGGTTACTCTTGTCTGTGTTCTTTTAAATTTCCCAGCCTTGAGAATGACCCTGCTACCTGCCGATGAGTAAGGCCCAGGAATACCGGACACAGTGGGGACTGTGGAGGTGCTGAGGGGTGGACGTGGGTGGCCAGGCTCTGGAGCGGGAGGGAGCGCAGCTGGGGTCAGTCACCTGACAGCTCCTAGCGCGGGCACAGAGACATGGAGGCTGTAAAGTAGGTAGAAGGTGGGAAGGCGGATCCCGAGAGCCAGACCTTGAGCGAGGGGTTAGGGGTTCCGCTTCCCCCGCTGATCACACTGAGGAGCCTTTCCGGGACTCTGGGCCATGGGGTGGGCAGGCTGAGGGTGACACCGGATCGGAGTCAGCACACAGAAGCCCCGTGAGATTTGTGTTTACAGGCAGGGCTGAATCTTTTTTCTTTTCTCTTTTTTGTTTAGTACTGGTGTCTTTGTTGCTTTTCTTGTTGCTGAGACAAAACACCCAATACTAAGTTAGAGGAAAGATTTATTTGACTCACTGTTTGTAGAGGTTTCAGCCCAAAGTTGGCTGGTCCAAGGCAGGATGGCACAGCAAAGGAGAAACAGTTTATGGTGCTGGAGGCGGAAGGCAGGAGGCAGCAAGTGATAAGCAGTGACCACAGCCCTCTTTCTGTCCCTATGTCCTCCCGAGCTCTCCACCCTTAGGGGTAGCACTCACACCCAGGGTGGGGCAGCCCTAATCCTAGTATGAATCAAGCTCTGCATCACACCCTCAACCCCAGCATCATACCCTAGATCCAGCCACCTGTGACCGCATGAGGCCCTGGGGACACCTACACACAGCTCTAACAACTGGGAACTGAACCCAGCATCTTTGCTCTGAGCTGCATCGCCAGCTCTTTTTATTTTGAGACAGGATCTCTAGTTGTGCCCAGTTTGGGCTTGAATTTGTGATCCTCTTTCCTGCCTCAGCCTCCCAGGTGCTGGGATTAAAGGTGTACAGCACCATACGTGGTTAGCAGCTGAATCCTGACAGTTTTTGAGTATGGTGTCTGTCCCTCACTTTCTGTGTGTACTCTCTGTGCAGGTGTCCAGGACTGAGCCTGTATGTGTCTCCTGCGGTGCCCATCTACAATGCGATTATGTTTCTCTTTGTGCTGGCCAACTTCAGCATGGCCACCTTCATGGACCCAGGGATTTTCCCTCGAGGTAAGATCTCCCTTGGAAGTTCTGTGGCCTTTGCAGTCCTGGAACTGTGGGATTCTTCTGCAGTCCAAGGATAGAAACCAGGGCGGGGGTCTTGAGGAATAGACATCATCGCCTCTTCCCTTTCACTGCCGGTGGGTGAGACCTTGAGTTTCCAGTTCTTCACTCCCTCAGTGGGACTGTGTTTAGCATCGGTGTTGCTGGGTACAGGAAGGAGTTCAGTGATGCCTGAGTCCTCACGGCAGTGGCACGCACACTGCAAGGGGCACGAGCAGGCGCTGAGGACATGGGGAGCAGACAGTTAGGTGTACAGGCAGAGAAATGGGGGAAAGGTGCACCGAGTCCCAGTGGGGGGAGGGCAGTTGTCCCTTCTGTGTTTTTTTGTTTTGCTTTTTCTTCCAGCACTGGGGATTGAACTCGGGTCCTTATACTTGCAAGGCAGGTGGCAGAACCATTGAGCTAAATCCCCGGCCTTCCCCTCTTGTTTTTTGAGGCTGGCCTCAAAATGGCTTGAACATTGTAGCTCAGGCTACCTTGAACTCAGGCTGGCCTCAATCTGTGGTCTTCCTGCCTCAGTGCTGGGATTGCAAGGTGTGTGTCCCTGTGCCTGGCTAGGCAGGGGCGTTTTACATCGAGAAAGTGGTGTAGACAGAATCTTGAGGCTGTGACATGGTGAACTAGGTGAGGTTGGAGGGTGCAGGGCTGGGAGAGGCAGGAGGGAGCCCTGAGCCACGCTGCAAAGCTCTCTGTGCTAAATTATGTGTCGTGTGGTCTGTTAGATGCCATCCCCTCCTTTGATATCAGGAGGTGTCTCTGTGGAGGATTTGGGAGATCAGAACTCCTTTCACAAAAGTAATTCTTGTAAGAAAGGACAGATACCTTCTGGTTGGCCATGGTGATAGATAGCACAGACCAGAGGAGAACCCAGCTCAGGGCTGGATTTGGAGATTTGTCGCATGTGGACTGCAGCATCGTAGGGAGCGTGAAGGCAACCCTGCCAGCCACCCAGGATGCTGCGCCTGGGTGCTGTGGTGTCGGGAGCCAGGCACAGTTGGGCCTGTAGTGTTTGGATAGGAGAGCATGAAGGAACGAATGGTCTCCGTAGCTTCAAGCTTCCTGACTTGTGACTTAGGGTGGGTGCTGGTTTTCAGAAACCACAGCGTGAGTTACAGGAATGTTGAGTAGATAGGGAAGGAAGACAGAATGCTCTCAGGCATACTGAAGTTTTCTCTTTTGGTTTTTGTGGTGCTGGGGATTGTACCCAGGCCCTTTTCACTGAAGTACTCCCCACAACCCACCTTTACATTTTGAGACACCTGGGTGTGGTGGCACAGGCCTGTAATCCCAGCACTTAGGCGGCTGAGGAAGGAAGATTGCTTCAAATTTGAGGCCAGCCTGGACTACATAGCAAGACTTTGTCTCAAAGAACCAAACACCCCCCACCCCCCAAAAAAAGAGAGAAAGAAGGCTGGGTATTTAGGTCAGTGGTTCTGCCACCTGCCTCGAAAGCACAAGGTCCCAAGTTCGATTCCTTGTACCAAAAAGAAAGAAAAAGGGAGTTTTACGCAGGATCTCACTATGTCATTGCGTTGCCCAGGTTGGCTTCCAAGTTGGAATCCTCCTGCCTTAGCCTGCTAAGGTTACAGGCATGCATCACTATACCTGTTCAGTTTACAATCTTTTTAGTACGGTGGAGGATGGAACCCAGGGCCTCCTGCGTGCTAGGCAAGCACTTCATCACTGAACTACATCCCCAGCCCTTTCATGCGCGCACGCGTGCGTGTGTGTGTGTGTGTGCGTGTGTGTGTGTAGACCTAGCACATGCTGGGCAAGCGCTGTACCACGGAGCTGTCCTCCCAGCCCCAGCCCCACCGAACCTGAGGTGCTTCGTGACACCCAGCGGGCGACTGAGCCTTTGGTTAAAGAGTAGGGTGTAACAACCTTGGGCCCTGTGGCACGTGAAGCAGTGGGAGTGAGACTGTCCAGAGAAAGTGGACGGGACTGGGAGGCTGAGGCTGGCCTGCTCCGGAGGAGGAGGAGCAGCTGGAGCTGCCAAGGGGACCGTGGGACGGGCTGGGACTCTGGCAGGTTCGTGAGCAGCTCGTGGCTGGCGCACTCAGGGGTCACAGAGATGGCCCGTCGTGTCTGGGGTGTTCATGATCCCCACGGTTGAGGGAGCTGAGAAGTAATGAGTTGTGACAGGAACAGGGCAACATTGTGTCTGTGCAGGAAGAAGACAGAGAGCCAGATTCCAAGTCGTGGTTTGGAAGGCGGTGAGTGTCTGGAAGTAAGCAGAGAAGGGTGAAAAGGAGTCATTGGGGCAAGAAGGGGCTTTTTCAGGATGCAGAAGACCTAGCTGGTTTGTAGGATGAGCACAGAAACAGGATAGCAGAGGTGGAAGTGGATGTGGGCAGCTGGAAGTGAAAGGGCAGAGAGAGAGGAGTGCTTTCGGGGCTGTGGAGAAAGCTCTGCTCACGAAGGACGCAGGCTGACCCTGGGAGGGGAAGGGGGAAGTCTGGAAAGGGAGCCCGAGGAGACGCTGATCAGCTGGAACTGTAATCAGCTCTTTAGACAAAGCGTTTACTTCGACAGAGGGATCAAAATTGTCAAAATAGCTAGCATTTGAGTTTTTTCCCTTCCAAAGAAAGACCCCGTATTTAAAGATTTTTATCCAAGGTGGTTGCATACCTGCCTGTAGTTGCAGCTGTGGGGAGGCAGAAATAGGAGGGTTGCCTGAGCCTAGATTGAAGCCAGCCTGCCCCATACTCGGAGACCTCATCTCAAAGAGAACATTGAAATAAGCAATGAATATGGGTATATTCACTATTTAGGAAGCACTGAGAAGACAGTGTCACCTGTAATTTCACACGGTTACATTTTCTTCCAATATTATTTTTCCCCTGGTACTGAGGATTGCCCTTGGGCCCTTGCACTTGCAAGGCAGGCGACAAACCACTGAGCTAAATCCCCGGCCCTTCCAATATTTTGAAGTGTTATTTTTGTTGTTTGTTTTTTACTGTATTGAGGGATGAAACCCAAAGCTTTTGTACTAAGCTACATTCCCTTTTTTTTTTTTTTTTTTTTTTATAGTATTTGATATTTTGAGAGCCAGGCATAGTAATGCACACCTATAATCCCAGCACTTAGGAGGCTGAGGCAGGAGGATTCCCACAACTTCGAGGCCGCCTGGGTTTCATAGTCAGTTCAAGGCCAGCCTGGGACCAGGTCTTGTTAAATGCTAAGCAGTTACCCAGGCTGGGCTCAAACTTGTGATCGTCTTGCCTTAGCCTGTTAGAGTGCTGGGGTTATGGGCATTTACCACCACACCTGGCAGTTTTTAATTCCTACACCATCATTTTTCTTTCCCTCATTTATATTTTCTACATTAATAATAAAAAATTTTAAATTGCTCACTGTGTAAAATGGGTTGGTTTCTGATGATTGAAAATTGAGAGAAAGGCCAAGTAAGGCTTGGAAGGCTTGGACAGTAATTATATATATA